GTGTGCTTGTGAGTGTGTTTGTGTTTGGTGTGTTTGTGTGTGCGTGCGTGGGTCTCTCTGTGTGTGTGTTTGTGTGTTTGGCGTGTTTGTGTGTGTGTGTGTGCGTGTCTGTGTGTGTGTGTGTGCTTGTGTTTGTGTGTGTTTGTGTGTGTGTGCTTGTGTTTGTGTGTGTGTGTGTGTGTGTTTGTGTGTGTGTGTGGGTTTGTGTGTGTGTGTGTGCGCGTGTGTGTGTGTGTGTTTGTTTGTGCGTGTAACGCATAGCTAGTTCTCCTGTACTTATGTTGCGCATGCATACGCAGGTTACATACATTGCATGCATTACATGAATTACATACACTACATACACTACTCACACGTCATACAATATACATACTACATACATTACATACGATACACACACAACGCATACATTGCACACAAAACATGCATTACATACATCACCAATGCTACAAACATGACATACAGTATAAACAAAGATTGCAAGCACTGTAATGCCATACACTGGAATGCCATGCCATATACCATGCCGTGCCATAACATGGCATGCAATTCAATACATCCATACATCGTATGTCTGCCCGCCGCCCAGGTGGTACACACCGCCACACGGCGCATCCCGCGAGCGCACGCACCCGATTGGGCGTATGGGCGTGAGACCCCCGGCAGGGAGCCTACAGAGTCCGGCCAGCAACGGGCGTTAGATGTTCTTTCTGTGACAGACTTGCACAGCTGCCACTGCACGTACATGGACTTGCATTTCATGCTGGAGTTGTTGGCTTCGAGGTTTCAGCGTCGTAAACTTACGTTGGCTGAGGTCTCGCCTTGCTTGTTGATAATCGTGATGCCTGATACGGAGAAGAGGAGCAAGAGACAGGTCGGACCAAGCTGGAGAAGGTGCAGAGAAGACAGAGGAAGATGGTGGTGAAAGGCAGCAGACAAGCCCCTATGACGACCACGCAGCAGAACTCTGAAAAAGCAAAATCGTAGTTATCTCCCTGCCCCCCAGCACAACAAACCAAAATCTCCTTCAAGTCTTCGTAAATAATCAGAACAAACACGGGCGGAGTAACGAAGAGCCAGTGGCAACTGCAACTCCGCTAACCCCATGGCAAAGCGAAACCCCAGGAGACCATGCAGGTCGTGCCTTCTCCTGCAATGCAGCCGGCACCCACGAGAGTGAGGCGGTTGGAAGAAAGATCCCGCTGCAGCACTTTCCGGGCATTTTTGCTGCACATCAATTACATGCGCTCTTTGCGCATCTTGTCGTGTATGTTACTTGCGTGCATGCATGTTATGTATGCATGTATGCGGGCGGGCGGTCGAGGCGGGCATGCGGCCAAGCAGGTGGGCGGACGGGTGGGCAGGCAGGCAGGCGTGGCATGCTGGCAAGGTAAGCAAATAGATAGGTATGTAGGTATGCAGGTATGTGTGCATGTATGTATGTATGTATGTATGTATGTATGTATGTAGGTAGGTAGGTAGGTAGGTAGGTAGGTAGGTGAGTAACGGCATGCGGATGACGCGTCCGTGCCTTCGATTCGGGCTGGTGCAGCTTCTCATGTCGTCGGAGAGGCTGGGACCGATGCAGGACAGCATGTGTCCCGTCTTGAGCACATGTTTACTCCATGGAGATAGGTATTGGCACGTGCGTACTTGCGTGATGGGAGCATATGGAAGCCTTTTTGGTTTAGCATGTCTCCCCCGCATTTCCAATCGTGCAACCGTTGTATTGTTCATATTTTATGGCATCCTCACAGGATGATGTCTTCCAATGCCTGCATGCTCTTCCCCTTCCTGCTGGGCGTCTTATGCCTTCTTGCTATCGGTCTCGTCATCTTCATAAAGAGAACAGCCGGCGATCACAGCCTACTGGGCATGCTGGCAGCAGTGGGACAGTTGCAATGTCCGCAGCCTTGAAGTTTCGATCTCGTAGCAGACTCGAAGGGAGTCAGGGATGGAGAGTGATGCGATGGACCCGCGGTTTTTGAAGTCTCTGGAAGGCGAAGCAGAGGCCAAAGCGGCGGATTTCCTCCTTTCCAGCTTTCACAGCGAAAGCCATAGCCACTTGGTTCGCCTCCTTCAGCAAGGCGTGCACTTCGGAGGCACCTTCCGCCGCTTGGAGCGGAGTTATCTCCAAACTTTTTGTTAAGAAGATCCCCCTAGCTGAAACCCTCAGAGTCCCCATGACTTTGTTTTTCTGCGCTGTGATATCCAAGGCAGCATCAGCTTTTGCCATGGCCAATCCTTGGGCATTGCAGTGGGAGCAGCGGGCACGGCGGGCTATCCCAAGGAGGCCGGAGCCGGAGAGCCGCAAACTGGAGGCGACCTTGGCGACCTGCTCTTCAAGGAGGCGGCGGAGCGGACACGGCACGGAATCCTGATCCTGCAACTGACGATCGGCTACTTGTGGCCATGCGCTCAGCGGCTTGCAGGGAGAGAAGCAGAGGGAGGTAGAGATGGAGACTTCAAGAAACCGGAAACCCACAGCTCCAGTTCCCAGCAGCAGCTCCAGCAAGTCTTCGCGAGCGCCAGGCACCCTGATAGAGTCTGATAGAGATACGGCGAAAAAAGGGCAAGGAAGCAACATGGCCACAAAGTTGCTTTCATCGTGTTCAAGCCTCTGCATACCCAGCAGCATGAACAGAATCCCAGCTGGAGAGGTGCAGACTCCCTAAACTGGCGCAGGCCTAGGCGACTGCGCGAAGCAACAGCCAGCATGAATGCTAGAGCACATATACAAGCAGAGCAGACGGCATGGCATGCAGCACCAGACGTCCTGCAGTAGTAGGACGATGATGGAGATCGGTGGTTGATGGGTTCATGGATGAATGCAAGAAAGGGTTGGAATGAGTGAGCTGACTGCCTGATGAAAGAATAGACTTGCTTGTTTTGGTTAGACTTGCTGTGGAATGATGGGCTCGTTGGTTGGTTGCTTGCTGGCTTGGTGTACCCACTGGTGGATTGCATGATGGTGGTGATATGTTGTGGTTGGTGATGATGATGACAATGAAGATGACACGGATGATGAGGATGACGACCGCGAGAAGGGCGATCATGATGGTGGTGATGCAGGTGAGGAAGGCTTAATGGCCATGGTGATCAGTCTGATGATCAATGCTGTGATGATGGGGATGTTGAGGAGCGCGATGGACAGTGGGCAGGGGATGAGGCCGTGTGAGTGTGCTTGTAATTTTGTTGGCGTTTTTTGTTGCTCATCTTCATGTCTTGGTTACAAAATTCAAAAGCAGTCAGCTTCACAATTCTCGTCCCTCCGCCGCTGCTGTAATGCTTTTCTTGTAGTCTGGCTGATGGTTCTCAGTCTCACGTCAGATTGGATGTGTTTGTTCTCTCACTTCAGCGGCAGTGTCGTTGGTGTGACTGTCCCGATCAGTGTGCCGGAGTTGCTGCCGTCGAGGTGAGGTTTGCGGCATCGTGGTCTTGATGATGATAGCGGTTGTAGTCGTCAGTGATAAACGTTTGCGTAACGGTTTCGATCCTTGTGCTGTTGTTGCTGCTGCTGAAGTGGTGTTGGCTTGCGGTGTCGTGGTCTTGATCACGATGGCGTTTATGGTGGTCAGTGATAACCCTTGTGGTGCTGGTCGATGGCCATGATGGCGTTGGGCGCAGCAACCCAACAATGGAGATGATGGCATCGATCGTACTTACGAAGGTGCACAACGATACACTGCTGATGATACCGCTGCCAGTACGATGCTGCTGCCGTTGATGCTGATGAATGCCAGCGCTGACGGTTGCACTGATCTCGATGGCGGCGGTGGTTGTGGTGGAAACTGCAGTGTGCTAATTAAGATGCTGGTCATTGTGACAAAGACTATAATCCCCAAACGCTGAGGTCGCCAGCCAGCGCCCGCGACTTTGGCTTCCTGCGCAGGCCTTGGTGGGATTTCCCCAGATTTTACAGTGTTGCATCGGGTTTTCAGGCGCTGTAATACATAGCTTACGCGGAAACCCGATACTATCACAGCTAGCATAATTGTATTACTGCTGATTATTCAGGTGGCTATATTAAGCCCTACAAAACCCAATGAACAACCGGTTCAACCCTAGAAATAAACTCCATTCAGCAACCCTAAGCCCTGAACCCTGAACCCCAAACCCCAAACCCTAACCCCAACCCTAGACCCTAAATGCTGCACCCTAAACCCTGAACACGTAAACCCCGAACCCAAAGCCCCTAAGAGCCTGAACCCTAACCCCTAAACCCTAACCCTAAACCCCAAAACCCTAAAGCCTGAACCCTAAACCCTAAACCCCAAACCTTAAACCCCTAAAGCCTGAACCCCTAAACCCCAAACCCTAAAGCCCTAAAGCCTGAACCCTAACCCCTAAACCCCTAAACGCCAAAACCCCAAATCCTAAACCCCTAGAGCCCTAAACCCCTAAACCCAAACCTAAACCCAAACCCTAAACCCCATAAGCCCCAAAACCCCAAATCCTAAACCCTAACCTAAACGCCTAAAGCCCTAACCCCTAAACCCCAAAACCTAAACCCCATAAGCCCCAAAACCCCTAAAAGCCTGGAAGCCCTTCTCAGACCCGAGCTCGTGCACATCTTGGTCTTGAGTGACCAGGGGCCGGAGATTGTCAGCTACCCACCTGGCTTTGGGCTTTAGGGCCACGGTTTAGGGTACTCCTAGGGGTTCCTTTAAGGGGTTTAGGGGTTTAGGGTTTAGGGTTTAGGCTTTAGGGTTCCATGAGGTATGGGCCCTAATAGACCTACTATATACCCTATATCTACCCTTAAGGGGCCCATGTTAGGGGCCCTGGAGCTTG